ACTCGCCAGATCAGATAGGTTATACGCACTTAGTGCACTTTCAATATAAAACACTCACAAATGCAGTTGTGTGCGTGAGAAATTACACTACCGCATTGTTGGCGAGCTTTTTTTTTATAAAAATTAACAAGATAAAGTAATTATGAAATGAAAATTATTATGGCACGCACTGAATAGCGCGGAGTCCAGCGAAAAACAAGCTCAAGCATTACATACCATACTGTACTTACATAGTATACCATACATACTTGTATATTTATTGGTCAACACAAACACATACATATGTATGACATATGACATTCAGCTAATTCACTGAATAAAATAACATAAAATAACGCATATCCGCTGACAATAATTGCCTTCGACAAACGCATTTTTTGCAGTCCCCAACAATGACTATAAATGCCTAAATGCTTTCACTAAGTCTCCTAACACTTTGCGGCTTATATGTGTGTATGCATGCGTGGGCACACACTTAAGTAGATGAGCATTGTAGACTGCGCGTGTGTGTGTTAATTCATGCATAGCAAGCGCCCGGAAATTGCGGTTACCTGCTGTGCAGACCGATCGGTGCAAAGGTCCACACACGATTTTGAGCACTTACTCTACTAGCTACGCATGTATGTATGGCATGTTAGCTGTCGGGGCTTGTGGCTGCAGCGGTGGCAGATTGAACATGCGCCAAACACAAAGCGCGTTAATGTCAACTGGAATATCATTCAAGCGTAAATTGCGATAGCTGCAATAAACGCAACAAAGATAACTTTGTAACCACTCTGAACATAAGGGTGCTACTTAAAAATTCCCATTTAACGGTTTTTGTTAAATTTTTTTGCGTACTTCATGCTCTCAATTGCCACTGCCTAAGTTGAAGCTTTCACCTTTAAAGTTTCGATGACGATTATTTTATTATAAAATTTAGAAATAACTTAATAACCACCCTAATGCAACTGTATAAGTTCATTTTGGTAAATATAACCTACATAAACTTAATCTTGTACACACAAACTTACATACAAATGCTTATGTTTGTATGTAAAGCATTAGGCTACACAAAATTTTTTGTTTAGCTGAGCTAAGCTTAAGTTACCCAGCAAAGCAAAAGTACAATGATGTTGCTCTTATGTTGCACTAGACCCTTCAAAAAAGGAAACTCGTAAACTTAAATTTGAATTTCTCATATACCATTTGAAATAAGAAGACACATGGCTACCTAAAGAGTTCAATTTTTTTTTATTTGTACTTCTCTACTACGTACTATCAAATTAAGTCGATATTCATACTCTCTCTTTCACTACCACTCTCCAAAAAAGTCGATTTTTCTACTCTCTCGTTCCTTCCTACGCCTCCACTACTTCTCAATATAGTCGATATTCGTACTCTCTTTTTCACTTCCACTCTCCAATATAGTCGATATTGCTACTCTTTCTTCTCCTACTACTATAGTCGATATTCCTACTCACCTAATAATTAGTACCTATAAGTATCCATTTTACTTTTTTTTAGTCTCGATATTTTTCTATTGATACCTAAATTTCGTCGGGTGATAACTATGAGAAATTGTCCGAGAATTAAAAAGGTGACTCCTCAATAAAATTTTGTGAAATAAAGTTCTATTTTGAGAACCAACACGGCAGTACAGCTATATTGAGCCCAGAGAGTTGCATTCTTAGCTCTTTTAACAAAGAACAGATAAGAGAGAGACAGAGAGATTCGAGTGTAAGAAAGTGAATTTTGTTGGCTTTCGTATTTCTTCGTGAAATGTTGTCAAATCAACTGGTCTGTAGAGAAAACGCTTCGCGAACCTGAAGAATGTTAGATTAGTTCCCATCACTTCAAAGATATTCCATTCTTACAACTCAACCAAAAATTATGAGAACAGAACTTCACCAAATTAAACGGGACCTTTACCCAATCGTAAAATAACGGTTTAATGAGTATATTTTTAGGATAGTTCGAGGTATTATGCTCTCTGTACCCATATAAAATCACTTGATAGTGTCTCATTATAGTTCAGCCTAAACTTTGGACCAAAACTAGTCGAATTATGAATTGATATAACAAAAGTACATTCTGTAGCGGGGGTTATTTGGCCTGAACACAGCTTTTTACTGGTGACTTTGCCAGAATAAAGATAGCAGTTGATGCCTTGAGTAGCTACTAAGAAAGATACATGATGCTTTCCACTCTCTAAGGTTGCTTTGGTGGATCAAATTCAATCAGAGTTATAAATAAATTTTCAACCTTGAGTTTGCTTCAACTGCCATGCCACAACGAAGCCGAACTCAGCTCTGCGAGTGATTAATTATTTACAGAATTGCTAAACAAACATATACACCATATGCCTTAAGTACAAAGCTAAAATTGAAGTAAGTCAAGCGTTAGCATATTGTTGCATATTAAATGCGGTAATATATCATGCATGCGCTAACGCCCACTTAGCGGCAGGCGTTTGATACAAATTGTATATAACAGCAGGATACAGCTTTTTATACCGTTATGCCTGTCTGCATAGATTTCTGACTGCCGCTTTGGATACATAAAAGTCAGCAACTAGCAGCTTGACAGTAGCTGACAGTCATGAATGACAGCTGTGACAGTATGCTTAAAAGCAATTGACAACTTTGTGATAATGACCAAATAATATATGAAGCAAGGCAACTTTTCGTTAATAAAATATTTATATGGAGGTAAGCATGTCGTATATATATAAATATATATATATATTATATTTATTAATCACCGCACGTGAAGAGTGAAATTCGAAAATAACACGCACGCACACACCCACAAGCCCACAAGCCACATGGCGAAACAATAAAACCACTTTCAAGTCAGCAACAAATAATTGCAACAAACAAGTGTATGCATATTAGATGCAAGGTAATGTGATTGTTTTTTGCTGTTGTAAATTTCAAATAGGCAACGTGCAGTTGGCACGTGTTTTTGACATTTGAGCGATTTACAGGCTAATGATTGACAATTGCCTACCTAATTACACATATATATATGTATATATACACATAAACATATATACAAACACTGCAATATGTAAACAAAAACAACACATTAGAATTCGCTAAATATTTAAACAGTTGCATGAGTTCATTGCGTTGTCAATTGCGGTACATTCATTTATATTTTATATGTGGATATTTGTCTTGGAGGGTGCGCATGTCGTATGAGTAACTAAAAATAAGCGCAGCACAAACAATTTTGTGTGTGTACGTGTGGAATAGACAGCAAATGTCTATAATGTGCAATGAGTAAGGAAACAAAATAGAAATGCTGATAATGACGTAGGCAAGAAAGTGGTTTCATGCCCTCGTTCCCATTAGCTGCAGGTGTATTCCTAAACAGACAATTGCATATACATATACATATGTGTGTATGTATGTGACAGCGCTTATTTGTTATTTTTAACCGTAATTCCACGTTAAATAGCACACATTTTTAAGCGCCTACAATTATTTACACTCGCTGCTATATTTATAGAGCGTTTTAGCTACTCTTACAATTTAAGTACATACAAATGCGCAAGCAGTTTATATGCAACTGAGCTCTACTTTTTTCTAAAAATAATAGTCGCTGCAATTGGCACAATAGGAACGCAAAAATGCATAACATATAAAGAAATTGCTTTTTTTATGCTTATAATATACTACATACATATAATATGTATGTATGTATACATATGCGCATTTTGTAAAGCTTAAATAGCGAAATTAGTACAACAATCTCTCTTTTACACAAAAGTTATTTTTTGTCGAAGCAAACAAATTATTAAAATTTATTCGAAATAAATTTCAAAAATATTTTTTTATGAAAAATTATTTGATTAACTGTTTTTCGAAATAGATACAAAAAAAAACAATAATTATATTTAAAATATAAAAAAATATTAATATTTGTTCAAAATTGATTGCAAGCATTTTTTATTAAAACTTCTTTGAAACAAAATTTTATTAAAAAAATTACATTTTAAAATTTTTCCTAAGAAAACACTTATTCAAAATATAATAATTATTCGAAAAAATATAAACAAATTAATAAAAAAGATTCGAAATAAATTTCAAAAATATTTTTAATAAAAAATTATTTCAAAAAATTTTTTTTCCAAATAAATCAGAAAAAATTTTTTTTGTTTTAAATTTTAAAAAATAAGTAATATTTAGTAGAAACAAATCGCTATCATTTTTTTTTAAACATCTTAAAACAAATGCTTTTATAAAAAAATTAAGAATAAAAAATCTCAAACAAAAGTTTTCTTTTGAAAACATTCATATATAATAAACAAATATAATAACTAGTCGAAAAAATTAAAAACAAATTTTTAAACATTTTTCGAAACAAATTTCAAAAACTCTTTCCACCAAATAGAATTTGAAAAATGTTTTAATTAATATTAAAAAAAAAATGATTAAAAAATATTCGAAATGAATTTCAAAAACATTTTTCATGAAAATTATAGATTAATTATCATTTTATAGATAAAGGTTTAAAAAATGTTGAAATGTTAAATAAAAAAAATATTTGAAAACATGTTAAAAGAATATTTTATTAAAAAAAGGTTCAATTTATTTAAAATTTATAGAAAAAAAAATTTTATTCATAAATTAAGAAAGAAAAGGAAAATTATTTAAAATAAATTTCAAAAATATTTAAGTTTTGTTTATTAAAAAATAGTTCAAAGTAAATTTTAAAAAATTTAATCTATTTAAAATTTATTACAAAAAATATTATTACAAAAAAATATTATTACAAAAAAATATTATTAAAAAAAAATATAAATAATTAAAAATTATTCGGAATAAATTTTAGAACATTTATCTCATTAGCATAAATTAAAAAAAAAATTACTACAAATTATTATAAATAAATTTCATAAACATTTTCTCCTTATAAATTATTTGAAAAATTAAAATATATACATATTTTATTCAATTCAATTGGAACAAAAAATTTTCTAAAAATTAAGAAAAAAAAATTCAAAAACTTACCTCGAACTATGTAAGTTTCCAATAACGTAGTGGCGAAGTGAAAAATTAGCACCTGAAAAGAGAGCAAATAAAAGCTTTTACAACAAAGTTTAAACAGTTTGTCTCTGCCAATAAAAGACTCTAATAAATGTATGTATATATAGCAAGTAACAGCCTTACACACTTAATTAGTGTAATTAATTATGCCTAAAACAAGTGCCTCTAATGATTCTTTATGTGAAAATTACTTTATCCCTCACAAAGTTTACGCGCTCACATTTGGCTTTTGTAATTAACAGAAGTTTGTGAGGCTTAACGTGTGCAAGCTAATTACTAAGAAAAAAATTTAAAAACTATGTAAAGATAAAATATAACTTTAATATGATTTTAAAAATATTTAATTAAAAAAATTAATAAAAATTTTGATAGAAATATAAAAAAAAATGTATAACAAAAAAAATAAATAATCATTTCTAAATAATATAACAAGAAATAATAAAAATATAAGCATAACATATCTGAAATAATTGTAATTATTTTTAATTACTCAGCAACGCAATCGTGGCCTTAAACTTCAATTTTATTGCATATCTTTTCAGCATAAATATACTTCTTTTTTTTCTTGCTAAATATATATTTTAATGTATTTTTAATTTTGATAATTTTGCTAAGATTTTTACAGTCAACACTTGAGTTTTTTAAACAGCTTAACAGGCAATTGTATTTTATATATACTGTAATAAAGCGCGACTTTGTTCAAGTAATCATTAAACGCTCAGGTTGAGCAGCTTGCAAAATACATTTAAATATTTTAGTATTTGCATGCTTTTTTATTTACTTAAAATATATTTTCTTAATTCTGCTTTGTTGCCTCAAGCGCTGTTTTGGTAAGCTGCACGGTTAATAATTGTACGCTTGCCCCTCAATTAGCTTAGGGCTATAATTTAGCCAGTAATTATTTCAGAAAATTAAGAAGGTCAGCTACAGCATTCAGTTTTTAAATAGCGATGTGGTAACACTGAAGCAATGTAAAAAAAAAATATTTAAATATTGGGTAAAAATTGAGAGTAAATGAAACTGACTCAAAGCAGACTAAAATTTATAAAAGAAAAATTGAAATAATATTTTTACGCAATTTTGAGAGCAACGTTGGTAATTGTAGTGATAAAAAACCGCTTTCGAAGTTTTACTCTTTAGTAAGTATTTTCATTGAGTTTATTTTCGCTTTTTTCAAAATATAACAATCAATAATTTGAGTGACATAAGAATTGATTAAATTTAAGTTTAGTTTAGTAGCCCATAAGTCAAATATCTTTATAAAACTTAAGTTTTAAATTGTGTCGCGATATAAAAAAGAAATTACTTCAAGTGAGTGAGTGATTTTTTGCAATTCAAGAATTGTGTAGTACGAATTTTCTAAGTAGAGTATGTGAAAACTTTTTAATCGACGTTATTTACTAAAATTGTCTATAAACTCAAATTGAAAACAGAACCAAATTTTACTATGAATATATCTTCTCTCTTTCATTCGCACGCGTTTATCGCTGCAGAAACTGAGTGTGCGCTCAACTTCACTTGTTATGCATGAAGTTCTGTACCACTCAATTTTTTGTTGTATTGAGTTCGATGAAAGATTGCTATACTATATTTATTTTTATTATAATTGGTGCTATTACAATAGTTCAACAAATATTAAACAGCAACATTCTTTCGGCAAAGTGTTGTCACTAATAAGCCAATTATTATAAAAAAGCAAATCATTTATTTATCATATATTTCACTCAACACTTTGAGTAGTAAAATAAAGAGTGATAGTTGTGGCTTAATTTGAATTTGTCAAAAACTTTTTTTTAATTTTTGATATGAATAAAAATATTTCTTAAAATCGCAAAATATGATATTGTTTGAAAATATGTCACATAATTTCTAAACTAAAAACAATTTTCTTTATTTTCTTAGTTTTTATATCCATATTGAAACCGATTACCCGTGCTATTCAAACAAATCGAGTGAAAATGACATAAATTCTGCAAACGCCTGAAATTATTGCCAACTCATTTCATTAATGAATTTTCTTCTGCTTCGGCTTTCAGCTTATACATACATAGTTTTCTCCGAAATAATTCGCATTCATTTGTCGCATTTTAATTATTATTTTTGCAAATTAAAACACGCAATTAAAATCATCAATCATTTTGCTTTGAGTAATTAATTAATGTATGATCATTTGAGCACAATATTTAAATAAAATGAATTTAAATAATTAAGTGCTCATTATGTTTGGCCTTTCATCTCTATTTTTGCTCTGTTCTGCCAATGAGGCGGCGCAGTAAAAATTATTAATCGCTTTTATCTCCCATAAATAGCCAGTTTCGCTCGTAAATTTTTAATAACAACGATTTATTGTTTATTGCTTCTCTACATATATATATTTCGAATAAATAACAAACTATCTGTTAATATACATATATACACTTATTGTTATATATCATGTGCACAAGATCGGTCATGCTTATAAATTTTTATATTGCTTAACCCATTTGACAATTAAACAATAAAGCATGTTTATAAGTTATTTTATTGATAAGCTACTACTGCTGTAAATGATTTATCGTTAATATAACGGAATTTTTTAAAGCAGACTCTCAGCAGCAAATTACATAATAAATCAAATAATGTGAATAACAGCTTTATATTAATTTATTATCGGCCATTGACATTGATTACTCTGTTAATTATAAGTTTTTGATTAATTTATATACTTTTGATTTGCACCCTCAGCTTTCACTATGTTCTTAGCCTTAAGCTAATTTTGCATTTTTATTTTAATATGGAATAGTGATATTTTAGAACCAGTTTATACAAATTTTGTCCGTTGTTGTTTATACAAAATGCCGTCTAAATTTCATCATAGATCTTTTCGGATATATGTACCTAAATCTTTAACTAAGTCACCGACTTATTGAGAGTATTTGGTTAGCTCTTAAAAGAAAATATGCAAAAATATGTTTAAAAGTTATAAAAAAAATTTTTTTTGGCACAATTTTTAACAACCGAATTTTCACCGAATTATAAAAATATTTGACGCTGGTATTTGCTTCTTAAAAGAAATTATTAAAAAAAAATCATGTATTGGGACAAAATATTTTCTGATACAACTTTCTTTTACAACATTTCAAACACTCCAGTTCAAGCGCTTTTATAAAAACAAAAATTATAAAATATTTTATGGAAAATTTTGTATTGTAGGACAACTTCAATTTTCTGTTATTTTTTTTTTTTTTTGGGACAAAATATTTTTGAAACAATTTTTTAGCATTTTTGCTTCATAATATCCCGTGTTGTTATTCCAAAATAATGAGGTGGTTTTCAGACAGTTAAAATTTTTTGGGACAATTTTAATTTTTTGGTACAATTTACCAAATTTGGGACAATTTGTTACAACATTTTTTCTGAATCTCAAATCTAACATCTACAATAAATTATTCAGCGTTATTAATAGATTCTACACTTTTGGGACAAATTAAATTTTTTAAACAAATTTATAAATATTTATCTAAATTTCATTAAAATTTAGGCAGCTAAATTTTCAGTGCCATCTCAATTATAAAAATATTTGTCGCCGATTTTTGCTTTTTAAGGGAAAAATGCAAAAACACATACAAATGTTTTGAACTAAATGTATTCTGATATGACTGGTTTTTTAATGAATTTGGGCCACTCCAGTTCAAGTGCTACTATAAAAATATAGCGCATTTTTTTGGTGTATTTTTTTATAATTTGGGACAGTTTTAATTTTTTAGGACAAATTTATTTTGGAAATTTCAAGCATAAAAAATATTTTTGAATCAAGTGATCACATTTGTGAAAAAAAATTTAAAATTTTGGGACAAATTTAAAAAAAAAAGTCCTAAAATCCTTTTACTAAATATTTTAAGATTTTCACTTTAAATATTTATCTTTTTATTTTTTGTGACAATTTTAATATTTTGGAACAATTTTAAATTTTTGGAACATTTTTGTTTTTGAAATTTTAAGTTAAATATGCTTCAACGAAATAATCACGTTTTCTCCAGAAATTTTAGCACTCTTTGGAACAGATTTACATAAATTTACCAGGCTCTCTTTTACTATTTTAAGATTTTCACTTAACGTCTAAATAATTTTTTTTTCTTTTGCTCTTCTTACAAAGCTTAAAAGCGCATAAATAGCAAATACTTGCAAAGTTTTACCAGAACTAATGCCATTGAAATGTATTAAATGCAAAAATATGCACGAAAACAAGTCAAAGAAAGCGTTTTTCGGCGCCGCACACACACACACACATAACTACCCACATTACGCTTATCACTTTGCATGCTGAGTACAAGTATTTTAATGCATATGTAATGTGGGATAAGCAGGCAAACTTATTGCGTAACTTTACGCTTTTTCACTTATAGGTATATGCGAACAGACACACACACACATGCATACCTATATGTGTATATATGTATGCGTATGGTAAGAGCAAATACTAAACGTGAATATAATTTTTTATTGTTATTTATGAACACGGAAACGTTGTTAAATCGCTTGAGTAATAAGACAACTGAATAACATAGACACACATACATACATACATACAAAAATATTTGTGTATTCATTCTGTATATAAATATAAAAAATATATGTTTGTATGTACTTAAGTGCCTCATTCAGCTAGACATCAGTCTCAACTCATTAACTTAAGACATTACAAGGAAGTAAAGCTTTTTACAATAACAACGACAACAACAACAACACAAACTATTAGATTACACTTTTTTTTTTTTTGAAGATTTAATAAAAATAAAAGAAAAACAACGCCAACTTTTCAAAAAAAGCATTTTCTATTTGTCATTTGGCGTTGCCGGACTGCGCAAATCTACATAATGATTAGCAAACGCTGAATTAATCCAACAAATATACGGCGCATGAATTAAGCAAATATTGTTCCGTAAGTTTGTAAAAAATAAAATAAACACAACAACAACAACAATAACAATGACTGAAAACCTGCTGCCGGTAGTATTTAATATTCAGCACAGCGAA